GTCGGAGAGACCCAGCACCCATGCCTCTTTTCTGCCGGGCCCTTTTCCGACTTGGAAGAGCGAGCCCTGGAGGTAGTGTATTGGCCGGTTTAAGTGCTGAGGCTTTGCGAAAGAGGAGAGCCCTCCGCAGGGTCCCCAGCTCCCCGGGACTTGAGAAGCTTGTTGTATTCTGTGGTGGGGACTAGCTCCAGGGAGGAGAGCTCCCAGACCCGAAGCGCACGTTTCCCAGGGACACGGCCTCCGTGCACACGTGTGGAGAGGGGATTCCGGGCACACACGGGGGCTGTCGGATGATTTCATGTGACCGCCTGAGTGTCCCGTCTCCCTAGGTTTGGGTGTAGGTGATATCTGTTCACATGTGACTCACCTTGTTTGTGTTGAACGTGAGTGTATTTACACTTGAGAGCAGTGCTGCCTATCTGGAAGTCTGAGTGTCTCTGAGCCCTTGTGCAATGCTACGTCTCTGCGTGTGTATTTTTCTGCGAGGATGTTGGTTCTGGGCATGACTGTTCTTCCTCCCTGCATGGCCGTGGGCAAGAGAGTTTGTCTCTGGTGAGGTGTGCAGGGATAATTGGACCGTGGTGCTCGGGAGTGCGGTCCGCGGGCTGCATGCGCCCTGGACTGGGCAGAGCTGGAAGGAAGCTGTGCACACCCGCCTCTTCCAGGCAGCTGTCTTTCTGAGGGAGAGTGGGTGCTGTTCTTGCCTGAAACACTTCACAGAGCAAGATGGTAGAAGGCTAAAGGAAGTGGAGATATTTGTCTTTCCCTGATGGGACAGGTTGTTGACAGAACTGGGGATGTTCGTGGGGGAGGATTCCCCCGCCCCCAGAGGAAACCGTTTTGAATCTTGAAGGGTGTGTAGCCCCTGCTTTTCAAGTTGGCCCCAAGGACAAAGAAGAATGGATGTATACCAGCCTGAACTACTTTCTGCTGGTCCAGCTCTCCTTGGAGCTCCCCAGCAGTCAGATGGAAGAATCCTAGTTCTTTACAACTTGCTAGACCACTCTGCACTTGGCTGTGGGAAGAGAGAGGGGTAACTGCAGGCATGCTTTGGTACCAACCCGGGAGGGAATGGCTGCCTCTGACTTGCTAGTTGACTTGCTAGGGAAGACCCTTCTGGGTGTCTCAGTTTCCCCACCCCTTCTTTTATGCTCTGCTTCCCCCCGCCCCAAACTCCAGTTGGGATTTACCCATTTGAAATATCTTAGAGGTGGGAGCTGGGTGGGGAGGGAGCCACAGATGTCCGGGAGATTGGCAGAAGTGACACAGCATGTGATGGTGTTGGGAGGGGGGGCACAGGCAGACCTGGAATCAGAGTTCTGTCTTCATTCCTACAACAAGGTGATGGGGGGCATAATGTTGAGCATTTCTTGGAAGGAAGGAACAAGATCCTCTCAGAAGGGTGGGGGCTGGTTGCTGCTCCTCCATGCACCTTGAGGATGCAGATGTTTTGGTGGGAGCCACCTCACCCTCTCACCTGACCAGGTGTGTGATTGGGGCTTTGAGGGCCCCGGGTCTAAAGGTAGCATTGATGGAATAGAAAGGGTACAGACTTGGGGCTGGACATACCTGGGTGCAAATCCTGATAGTCACAACTGTTAAGGCCCTCGGGCTTAGTTTCCTGATGAGTAATATGGGAGGGTGGGTTAATTAATATCTATCTAAAACGTTTGTTGTGAAAAATTCATTGTTTGCCAAGTATCTAGCACAGTGCATGGCATATTGCAGACTCCAGTGTTTCCTAAGCTTATTTCAGCATGGAACCTCTTTTTTCCCCAAGAACTTCTCTGAATACCCTTTGACAAACCTTGCCCTGTTCATTTGTGTTTACTCAGCAAACATGAACTGAGCATTTACCATAGACCAGGCCCTGTGTGATGTTTGTCATCCTTAGGAACCAAGGTAGCTAGTGGCCCAGGTGGAGGTGGGGGCAGGGCTTTGTCACAGGGGCACAGGGTCTCCAACTCCTTTGTTCTTT